GATCTCAGCCTGTTTGGATCATTCCTTCATGGACTACTTCCCTTCTCCTCCCCTTTTACAGAAAGTTCTCAGGTTTCTGGAAGGGTGGAAGGGCTTCAGAAGCCCTGACTTGTAGAACCACTCAACCTATCCTGAGGTGAACTCCTGCCTTGCTCACAGGCTAACTCATTCCAGACTGCTACTCAGCTTCTATCTATGAAAAAGAAAAAACAACAAACTGTATCTAGCTACCCTAGAAGGCGTTAATCATGGCACAAGTAAAGGTACCTCATGTGCAGGTGAGTGACCTGGTCTTCGGTGCCCTGCATAGCAGTCCACATGTTTTTGTAAATGTAATGCTATTTACTTTTAGACCATATACAGTTGCAAGAAAAAGTATGTGAACCCCTTGGGATTACGTGGAGTTTTGCATGAATTGGGCATAAAATGTGCTCTGAACATCATCTAAGTCACAACAATAGAAGAACACAGTCTACTGACCATAATACTACACAAACATTAGATGTTGCCATGGTTTATTTGCACATAACATGTAAACATTTACAGTGCAGGGAGGAAAAAGTATGTGAGGCCCTTAATGACTTTTCCCAGAGCTAATTGGAGCCAGGAGTGAGCCAACCTTGACTCCAATCAGTGTGATGATATTGGATGTGTTGCTGACAGCTGTCCTGCCCTTAAAAAACACACACCTGTTTTGGGTTTACTGGTTTCAAGAAGCACTGTCTGATGTGAACCATGCCTCGCAGAAAAGAGCTCTCAGAAGACCCTACGATCAAGAATTGTTGACTTGCATGAAGCTGGAAAGGGTTACAAAAGTATCTCCAAAAGCCTTGATGTTCATGTGTCCATGGTAAGACAGACTGTCTACAAATGGAGAAAGTTTAGCACTGTTGCTACTATCCCTAGGTGTGGTTGTCCTGTGAAAATGACTGCAAGAGCACAGCGCAGAATGCTGCCTGAGGTAAAGAAGAATCCCAGAGTGTCAGCTAAAGACCTACAGAAATCTCTGGCACATGCTAACATTTTTGGGGCTGCTTTGCTCCCTCAGGGCCTGGACGGATTGTTGTCATTGATGGGAAAATTACTTCCAGAGTTTATCAAGAAATTTTGCAGGAAAACGTACGACCATCTGTCTGCCAACTGAAGCTCCGCAGAGGATGGGTGATGCAACAGGACAATGACTCAAAGCATACAAGTAATGCAACAAAACAATGGCTGCAACAGCACAGAATACGCCTTCTGGAGTGGCCCAGTCAGAGTCCTGACCTCAACCCGATTGAAATGCTGTGGCATGACCTTAAGAGAGCGATTCACACCAGACATCCCAAGAATATTGCTACACTGAAACAGTTTTGTGAAGAGGAGTGGTCCAAAATTACTCCAGCTCATTGTGCAGGTCTGATCTGCAACTACAGGAAACGTTTGGTTGAGGTTATTGCTGCCAAAGGAGGGTCAACCAGTTATTAAGTCCAAAGGTTTACATACTTTTTCCTCCCTGCACTGTGAATGTTTACATGTTATGTGCAATTAAACCCTGGCAACATCTAATGTTTGTGTAGTATTATGTTCAGCAGACTGTGTTCTTCTATTGTTGTGACTTAGATGACGTTCAGAGCACATTTTATGCCCAATTCATGCAAAACTCCATGTAATCCCAAGGGGTTCACATACTTTTTCTTGCAGCTGTAAATTGACCTCCAGATGGCATAATAGGTCATGTTGAAATGTTTGAGTGCACTTAGTTTACTTTAGTTTCTATACACATCTACCCCTAGGGTGGCTGCTTCTCTGGAGTTCTAGTAGAAGTAACTTGGACACCCATCATTTTATAGAAACATGAAGCGGTTATATTGTAAAACTTGCAAAACACGGGAAGGAGAGTGAGTCAATGAGGATACCCCAAGTCACAACTGTTTCAAAACACAATACAACAAAAATAAGCAGCACTGTTACCATACCATGTGATAAAATAAAGGCATTATCAAAAAATTCCTATACAAATTCCATAAAAAGTCCATATGTAAAGTGCTAAAAAAATTGCCTTTATCACCAGGTGTCTAAAAGTCCATCCACTGACTGGTAGTGATTCAACAAAGCTTCAAAATATATATGAAATTCCATGCAGCGTGCACCACTATGTGTGAATCACCAAATCTCAATACTCACTGACACTCACCAGAATGATTGGCTTACCTAGGTATTGATAAGCATATACGCATATTACAGATCATAACCGGCTCCTCTCAAATGGTCAAAGAGATGAATCCCATGCTTTCTTTCCAAGTAAACCATCCCATGCATTTTCATCATAGTGGAAGTAATGAGCGGTTCTCCAAAGTAGACATGATCAAATGGATAAATTCGCAAAAAAAGAAGGGAATAAACCAATTGTGTAATACAGCTATAAAAAGTTTTTTTCCCAACAAAATTCTACTCCCGAAGCTCATGACATAAGTTGCTCATCAATAACATCCAATCTCTATTTCTGCTAGCCACCAAAGTGCCGTAGCAACAGCGTCTTAACCAATCCCTTCGCTGCTTGCGAATGGAATGTCACTTCTGGTGGGGGGATGAGGTCACTTCCTGTTGCCCTACGGTCTGATCTTGACGCGTTTCATCATGTGACTTCCATTTTTAGGGTAGTAGCTGTATATGTATTTATATGTATTTATTTATATTGATTTTTAGATATGTACTTATTTGAATTTTTTTCCACATTTAAGTAGTTTCTTGTTTGTTTGAACATTTACATGGATTGTCAATGTGCGTGGTGATTTTGTCACAGTAGGTTGTCTCACAACACAGAGTGACTTCTGATCCACTTTAGGATGTTCTTTATAGTGTCACAAACTGTGCTGACTAGTGGTAGACTTAATAGAGTTTATCTCCTTAGGGACAGAGGTTCTAGTGGTATTTGGAAGCATTTTCCAAAGTCACAATAGCTGAGGTTCAGTTTGTAATCTCTTATGCCTGTGCACTTTGAGGATGTAAAAACCCACCACTGCATTGCATACACTGAAACTATAACAACTTTAGGTAAGGTTGCTTCCTGTAATAAAATGCACGTAAAAAAAAAACACTTTTTTGCATATTTAATTCCATTCCTCTCTATAGCAGATGATTTTTTTGCTAAAATTCACCAAAATTTTAAAAACTAGGTGAACAGTCATTCCCTTTAATTATAAAGATCTCTTCATGTATTTTGTGTGCAGTTTTATTAACTTCAAAGCACATGTGTGAATGGGCCCAAAAGACCCCTCTAGGAATCTAAGTATCTGTGAAGTGACGTGCATCAGGGAGGATGACTAAAGATGAAAGTTACTAACATCCCCTTTTGCAACTGTTCTGCTGCTGTCTCTAAAAGTGTAGACAAAGAAAAATATGATATTTGTCTTCAGTTTATTAAGCAGTCATATCCAGCAACACATCAAATTCAACATCAGCACACTATTTTGTCATTAATAAGGCTCATGATATATTGAAGGTCTCAGAACGAGCAAACAAAGAATTGAATTAAAATGACATGATTAAACTGTCACTGAATATTATGAACTAATACATATTGTAAATACATTTGAGATGTTCGGTCAGCCACAGCAATGAAAGTCAAAGATGTTGTGTAGATAATTTTTCATAGAGGCAGTCGTTTACAGAGGGAAAGATTGTGGAAATAATGATGCTTACATTGTTGAAAAAGAACCACAAGGCAACAAAAATCATATTCCATCAAACAATACACAAAATGGCAATACTGTCTAAATGATACAAACATTGGCCAAAATATTTACATTTGTATTGTGTTTGTAGTGAAAGAATATAACTAGTAATGAGTGAATTCATGGGGATACAGTTGGCCGTCACCAAATTAATCTTTAGCTAATCAATCTATTTTATGGGAAGGATTTTTCTCCATAGATTGCTGACTAGAATTGGTAAAGAGGTCTTCTGCAGAGTAGTTCAATAGTGTCAAACAGGATATCCAGAAGTGTTCACAGATTCCAGGAGATGTTATATCATTACTTAATGTCTAATATAAAGTCCCAAGAATGTAGTGTTCATATAAAAAGTCCCAAATTAATCACCATATTGATAACTGTGTTTCAAGTGTACTAATAGGACTAATAAATGCCACACTCCTATCCACCACCACAGGTGCTCCATCACTCCCAATATGAGTTTCACTCATCAAATAGTTATGCATCACATATAAAATGATCGGCATAAATCGCTTTAAATAAACCACTTCCTCTGATGGTCCTCCATATGCACTCAACTTCACTCCATCTGATGGACCCTCAAATATTAGGAAGAAAGAAGCTCCAATAGCATATTACTGTTAAAATCAATTAAAATGTATTAACCTTCATGTAAACTGCTCACAAACATATTAAAATCATATGGACATTAAGTTGCATATTCATTGCATTACAGCATAATCTAACTGTCTACCATGCCACCCATTAGCGTGCTGGTTCTCTGGTGTTCATTGCAATGTGATTGATATGGAACTTGATGTGTGCATGATTTAATTATGTTTTGTGAGTAGTTTACATGAGGGATAATACGTTTTAATTGATTTTATGGTAATGCACTATCAGAGATTCGTTCTGCCTAATGTTTGAGGGTTCATCAGATGGAGAGAAGTTGAATGGAAGTACATATGGAGGACTATCAGAGGAAGTGGCTTATTTAAAGCTACTTGGGACTACCTTCTTGGGATTTTAATTTTGGACATTAAGTAATGACCTAGCGCCTCCTGGAATCTGTGGACACTTTTGGATTTCCTGTTTGACACTTTTACTTTATCAATAACCACCCAAATACTGGGCACTTTCACCCCCTTCCTGCCCAGGCCTATTTTCAACTTTCAGCGCTGTCGCACTTTTAATGACAATTGCGCGGTCATGCAACACTCATATACAATTTTTATAATTTTTTGAGACAGATAGAGCTTTCTTTTGGTGATATTTAACCACTTCCCGACCGGCCGTTGCATATAAACGGCCGGAGGTGGCAGTACAGGGTCGGGTGGCCGTTTATGAACGGCCTCCCCGCACCCTGCTTGTGCGCGCTCCCTGGGAAAAGTGAAACACCGATCGTCGGACGGGACCTCTGTACGAGGTCCCGATCATGTGATCACTGATTGGCCAATCAGTGATCACATGCAAAGTAGTAAGCAAGATGTCACTTGTAACATCATTGCTTACTACGTGTGAAATCTGTGAATGATCACAGAGGTCACATGGTACACGGTTAACAGCCTTGTACCATGTGACAAGGTGTGACCAATCACAGCTCACTCAGTACTTCTCAATGAGTGCAGGAATGCACACAGAGAGAAAGAGAAATGATTGCTTTTACATCCTATATGGGTGTAAAAGCAATCAGTGTAAAAAAAAAAAATCTTCATCACCCCCCACAAGTAGTACAGTGTCACCATGGTGACACTGTACTGCTAGGGTGACAGTATGTAAAAAAAAAAATAATAATAATAATAATATAAAAAAATAAAATAAAAATGTAAAACAAATGTTTAAAGATTATAATTTTTGGTTATAAACTAATTTGTTTTGTTTTTTTTTACTAAAAAGATAACGGAATACATTTTGGCAAAGATTTATGATGAAATATTATTTATTTGCAAAATTTTATAAAAAAAACACTTTTGTTCAAAATTTTTGGACTTTTTCATTTACATAGCAAAAAAAATAAAAATCGCAGCGGTGAATAACCACCAAAATAAAGCTTTATCTGTCTCAAAATAATGGTAAAAAATTAATTTGGGTACAGTGTTGCATGACTGCGCAATTGTCATTCAAAGTGTGATAGCGCTGAAAGCTGAAAATTGCCCTGGTCAGGAAGGGGGTAAAAGTGTCCGGACTGGAAGTGGTTAATCACCATTGTTGTTTTTTTTATTTTTTGCTAAACTATGAGGATAATCAGCAAGTCTCTGTACATGTAATCAGCTGTGATTGGACACAACTGATCATATGTAAAGGACCACTGTGATTGGCCATTTACCATGACCTAAGATCAGCTGTGTCCAAAGGCGGCACAAAGAGGGCGGGGTTCTGGGGAGGCCATCTTTCGGTTATGGAGGCTGCAGAAAACACTTCACATTTGTTTCTAATTTTTATTTTGGTGTTTTTCTAATCTGTGTTTGTGTGTATATATATATATATATATATATATATATACACACACACACATTTTTGAATAGGTTATTGTATTAGATTTCCTCTAAGGCATGGTGTTAATTGGTGTATAGATAGTGTAGTTCAATAGCTTGTGCACATATACTGTCTCATCAGGACATACACTATATTGCCAAAAGTATTAGGATGCCTGCCTTTACTCGCACATGAACTTTAGTGGCATCCCAGTCTTAGTTCAATATTGAGTTGGCCCACCCTTTGCAGCTATAACAGCTTCAACTCTTCTGGGAAAGCTGTCCACAAGGTTTAGGAGTGTGTCTATGGGAATGTTTGCCCATTCTTCCAGGAGTGAATTTGTGAGGTCAGGCACTGATGTCAGACGAGAAGGCCTGGCTCGCAGTCTCCGCTCTAATTCATCCCACAGGTGTTCTGTCGGGTTGAGCTCAGGACTCTCTGCAGGCCAGTCAAGCTCCTTCACCCAAAATGTGCTCATCCATGTCTTTATGGACCTTGCTTTGTGCACTGGTGCACAGTCATATTGGAACAGGAAGGGGCCATCCCCAAACTGTTCCTATAATGTTGGGAGCATAAAATTGTCCAAAATGTCTTGATATGCTGATGCCTTAAGAGTTCCCTTCACTGGAACTAAGGGGCTAAGCACAACTACTGAAAAACAACCCCACACCATAATCCCCCCTCCACCAAACTTTACACTTGGCACAATGCAGTCAGGCATGTACCCGTTCTCCTGGCAACCGCCAAACCCAGACACGTCCATTGGATTGCCAGACAGAGAAGCGTGATCCGTCACTCCAGAAAACACGTCTCCACTTCTCTAGAGTCCAGTGGTGGTGTGCTTTACACCACTGCATCCAAGGCTCTGCATTGCACTTGGTGATATAAGGCTTGGATGCAGCTGCTCGGCCATGGAAACCCATTCCATGAAGCTCTCTATGCACTGTTGTTGTGCTAATCTGAAGGCCACATGAAGCTTGGAAGTCTTTAGCTATTGACTCTGCAGACAGTTGGCGACTTCTGCACACTGTGTGCTTCAGCATGCACTGACCCTGCTCTGTCATTTTACATGGCTTGCCACTTCATGACTGAGTTGCTGTTGTTTCCAGTTGCTTCCACTTTGTTATAATACCACTAACAGTTGACCATGGAATACTGTATTTAGTAGCAAGGAAATGTCATGGATGGACTTATTGCACAGGTAGCAACACGGTACCACGCTTGAATTCAATGAGCGACCCATACTTTCACAAATGTTTGTAGCAGCAGTCTGCATGCCTAGGTGCTTGCTTTTATACACCTGTGGCCATGGAGGTGATTGGAACACCCGAATCCAATGATTTAGAGGGATGTCCCAATACTTTTGGTAATATAGTGTAATTACCTATATTTGGAATATATATCAAGTGTGTATTTATGGGGAAAATATAGTACATCATCGTGACGAGATACCGCCTAAGGCTGTATATGATATTCTGAACTCAATGTATATATTCAACACAATGTGCAACAAACAATACCTTTGCTTACATTTTTAATATGGCATTTTTGGACTTTGAAATGTAATGCTATTTACTTTTAGACCATATGAATTGACCGCATTGAGATGTTCCAGTCCACTTAATTTGCTATAGTTTCTAAATACCTATACCTCAGGATTGGCTTTTTCATTGTTAGACCTTGGGAACTTATCACTTTGTAGGAACTTGAACAGGTTTTATTGTAAAGCTTGCAAAATTTGAAATGGAGAGTGAGAGAACTGAGGATTCCCCAAATCACAACTGTCTCACAGCACAGGATCCTGATCCTCTTCAAGATATTATTTGTCCTCTCACAGACTACGCTGGCTGGTGGCAGACTTAGTGGAATTTAGTTCCTTAAAGCTTGAGGTTCTAGTGCTATTTTCCATAGGCAGAAAAGCATAGGCAGAGGTTCAAGTGAAAACTTCTTTCTTCTTTCTTAGTCAGTCTGTCAAAGGTATCTATATACATACAATGCTAAATTGTCATATTTGAACCAGGCTGTGACAAGTGAAAAAGGTAAGGCTTTGAGGAATTATGTAAATTATTTTAGTTTGGAAACTTTATGCAGCTGGCTCATAGCAATAACAGAGTTGTCTCTCCAATTGACAGTGTTTTACTTTTTGTTTTTAATTTTCAAACATTTTCCTTTTCTTTATTGGTGAGGTCTTTTTCTTTGGATACCAAATGTATTCTATTTAATGAACTAAGAGTATAACAAATCTTTGTATGGTCCATTGACCTATGAAATTAGAGTCAGTGTCCTTTCTTATCTGGTTAGCCCAGACCAGGAATTATATATTCCCTTACACTCTCCTACTGGCCATTCCTGGCTCTTTAGGATTTTATGGATGTTTTCATGAAGTTTACAGTTATATGCTGCAGTCTTATAAGCATTTTTGAACTAATCTGCAAGTATTCCTGACAGGCTGGCTAACTTAAACAGTAATGTTTTCTTGTGTATAAGGTCCTTCATTGCTCAATTGGCCCATTCACTAGTAACGCTAAATGCGTTCTGCATTCAATTGCCATTAGGGCCCATTCCCACTATGTGTGATCACTGGTGTTTTTCTGCACCTGATCACAATTAATGCAAAGGCACATAGAAAACAACAGTTTTCTATGTGCCTCATTCACAACACATCATTGATGTGATGTGCTATGCAAATAATGCAGGCATGCTGCATTCTTCCACAGCACACTTGATGAAGTCACCACACCTCAGTGAAGCCAACCGTGCTGCTATGTGGAGTCCTGAACGAAATGTACACTTTGTACATTTCCAATAAAGTTAAAAAAGCAAAATGCCTATTAAGAGTCTATTGAATTAAAATATTTTTTTTCTTCCATATTTAAAACCCTGTTGATCCTGCCAATGTAGGCCATCTCATACAGCTTCCTGAGATGTGGTGAGGAGTTTCTGTGCTGTTCCTGAATTCGGAGTTGTCACCCTGTTATAGGCTGCACCAGATTGCAGCATAGTGTGATGAAACGATTGTTGCAGGCGGCTTGACTGACAGCATTGCCTCTGTTGCTAAAATATTCCCAGTGTGAGCTGCAGTATCGCAGAAGGGAAGCATGTTATGTAAAAAATGAAGGAGGATTTGGTTTACTTTCTGGAATGACAACACTTCCTCTGCTGTAAATACCCTCCCAATGTGAGCTGTAGTGCCTGGGAAGGGAAGCATGAGGGACAAATAAAGGATTTTTTTGAATCCCTCAAAGGCTTGTGCACCACATAATAACAGGATTTGGGGCCTGTTAAAAGGAACTTAAAATGTACTTTTAGGGCGTGTGCATATACCTTCATGTCCTTTGTAGTGTGTCCTGGAAGTCTTGAAAGCTGCGAACTCAATATCTTAGTGGAATGCTCCATCTGCAACTGTGGTACTCTTACCTACCTCCTATTATATCTTTCCTCACCACAATTAGGACTTCTGTACCCAGCAAAGAGGTTTGCATTGCAGGTAACAGGATGGAACTCTGACTTTCCAAGCTGGAGAGTCACTGTTTGCATTTTGAGGGTTTCTAGTCTCCTGGTGTGCTGTAAATGTGAAGGTAATGTTGGGAGCTGTGGTTTTAACATTCAGTTTACAAACCTGTCAGAAAAGCTTTAAAACTATCAATGACTTTTCCTGCAAGACTTATAATAGAGAACCATAATACAAAAATCATCAGTGAGCACCATATTATAAGGTTATAGCCAGGGGCGGACTGACCATTCGAGCACTTGGGCACTGTCCGAGGGCCCGGGGTCAGCAGGGAGCCCCATGAAATGCCCCTGGTACCTTTTCTAGGCTTTTTTGAGTGTGCTTTGAGTGTGGGCGAGGACACAGGGGCCCCATGATGCCCTATTGCCTTGGGGCCCCATGAGTTGTCAGTCCGCCCCTGGTTATAGATAAGATATATTTTTGTTCATGAGCAAATTAAGTGCATTTTAATACTTTTCACTATATTAAGCAGTATGCAGGGGCGGACTGACCATTTGGAAACTCGGGCACTGCCCGAGGGCCCGGGGGTCAGTAGGGGGCCCCATGAGATGCCCCTGGTACCTTTTTCATAGGCTTTTTTGAGTATGGGCAAGGACACAGGGGCCCCATGATCCCCTATTGCCCGG